CAGACACAACTCCGCTAGCGCCTTCTACGAAGGCTGGCTTTCGTAACCTTCCAACCACCGATTAGTTTTTAATTTAACGAGGAATGAGTCGATGCTTGCCCAAGTCTCCGCCGAGGCAGGGCACAATTGAAGGACCTCTTCTGCGAGCCAAGCTCCCAAGACGCCAGCATCGTGCCCGCGGCCCAGACCGCGCGGAAACTGGTTCAACCTTGGAGGTTTTGTGGGGCGGGTCACCTTGTTTTTCTTCAAGGGTTCATGAGGAGAGAAGTAGACACTAGGAAACCCACACAACCAGACTAACACGTGCACGCGCAAAGCCTAGAAACGAGTTAGCTGGCAGCTTGAAACTGCGGTGCCCAAAGTCAGCTATGCTTGTACCCTTGCCGTGGGCAGAGCAGTATGCTAAGAAATTTGCGTAGGCGTTTTGGAACCGAAGTGGGATTGCACCTCTGCCAAAATGCCCAGCGCGCACCATGATCACAATGCTGGAAGCCAGGAAATCCTTGCCAACACCATCGATGGCAAACGTGTGTGCAGGATCCACCCGGATATACCGGCTAGCATCCCCCAAAGGCAAACTCCGCAAAGGGCTGGGATCTCCACTGTAGAATGGGCTCGGGTTGGTTGTGGAAGCTGGGAACTCTTTCATTTTTTTGAGGTTCCACCACTCCTTGGTGCATGCTATACGGTAATGAAATGGTCCCTCAAAACAACAGCCCTTTTGCAAAATATAGGCTTACAAGTACAAGCTTTAAAGCAAAGCTTGCGCGATGCTCAATCACAAGGTTCTGGTTCACAGCATCTATGGCATTTGTCCGAGCAGTTGAAGCCGCAAGACAAGTTGTACGCTGACCGAAGGAACGGCCAGTCTCCTTTTGTTCCTGTCACAATGAAATGGAAATGGTGGGACTCGCCCTTCCACGTCACCTCGGATATTGCGGTGGCAGATTGCACTGACCCGCCCATGCATACAACGGCCAACATGAACTGGTGGGAGCAAATTGGTGAAGCATTTGGGCCCAAACCAAAAAGGTAGAACTATTGAAATCTCCAGCCAAAAGAACAGTCATGCCATCCTTCCATAGAGAGTTCAGATCGTCAGTCAGGAGTGACAGGAGCTTGTGAAAACTCTTCTTTGTAAATGGCGCAGGCAGCACGGCGTAGAGCAGTCTGGTGCACAGGGAGTTCCTTGCAAGGTGTGCTGCATAGTGTACTCACGGGCCACGAGCGTCACACATAGACATGCAAAAAAACACAAAAAGGCATTCCATTAAGCAAGCAAATCCGAGAAGCCCTTGCATATTGGTTTTCTTGCCGTGCAAAGGGAGCAACGATTGAAGACTTACTACCATCACCGGGTTCTTCAGGCGGCCACGACCCTCATCCCCATGGATAGCCACAGGTATGAGGGAACCCCACTTGCTTTCAGGCATCTCCGTGAACATAGGAAAATCCTTGTCTATAGCTCGGTAGTTTTGCCAGAACGTGCGCAACTCTTGGCGAACTGCTGGCAACTCATCCAACGTACGCCCTCCCAAAAAGAAGTGGCCACCATGTTTGAAGATGCACTCAACCCAACTGGGTATCCGAAGCACTGGGTAATTCACCAGACTTTGTGCAAGGCGTTTTCTGGTGTAACGTATCCACAAGGGTATGGTGCTGACTTTGACATCTAATTTCTTGTGATCTCTTGAAATCACACGGTGCAGCTTTTCACAAGCATGCTTTGACCCCCCTGCTCTGGAAGTTGCACAAGAGGCAAGCCGGCTCAATGCTGGATCAATGATTCCTCGGTCAATAAATGACCATCATCTTAAGAGTATCCAAACCAAAATTGCTTGAATGTTTTACAAAAAGACTATTTACTGCGGCGCTATGTGCGCGTTTCAGTTGTTGACGTGTAAGCCTTTCCGCCAAGATGCCACGTTTTCTCAACTTCATGTTTGCCACTGCAGCCAGTCTGGCCGTTTGCTCGGCGGTTGCAGCCTGGGCAGTAGCTTTTGGTCAGGGATTGAGAGCTTCCAAAGAGCAGACCCCACACTCTCCCGCTTTAAGACATGTTGATGCCGATCCTCTTGCTTGGGAGGACTGTATGTCTTTCGCGCATGAAGCTCAATGTTGGAAACACTCCTTTCCTGACCGAAGATCAGACAAAGAGCTCCACACTCGAAACCGGCTAGAAGCTCGTCGGCAAGGTCGGAATCAGAGCCATCTTCGCCACCACCTCACAGGCAGGATCGGGGACAACGGCCTCGGGGGGTCTTACATACCATGAAATTGGGACACGCACGGTCAAATACACCCCGCCTTCCAAAGAACGCTTGCTTTCATTTCGGGGTACCACGAAGTCGCCTCTTGAGACACCTGCGTGGGCGTTGGCAAAAACAGGTCGACAAATTAGTGTAGCTTTGCAATGTAGTTTTTCTTTTTCCTGATCAAACGTTGAGACGGTCCCCCAGCCCACATGTACATCCACTGGTTTGCAAAGAGTTGCCACAACAATGATGGATCTAAGAAACAAACAATGGTCGAGGGTCCGTTTACATTCACATGGAGGTGACACGTGGCAAGCTCTTTGACATGTAGATGAACAAACCCCTGCTCGAATTTGACTCGAGCGTGGCTATTCCCCACACTCCAAAAAGCATGGCTTGCTTTGCAACGCCTAAGCCTTCTTTTGGCTTTTCACCTTCTTCTTTGGGCCCGCTTTTGCGGACGCCCCCCCACTGCCACTTGCCTTTGAAGACTTAGTTGCCTTCAAGGTCCTGGGTTCAAGGGACAGTTGGGCAGGGGGAGGAAAAATATGGAAAAACATAATTATAAGCAGCTTATCTTTGATTGTATTTGGTTTCTTTCCACTCGAATTGGTCGTCCTTGACCTAACCACCAAGTTGTTCAGGGCTACATCGGTCTTGGTACAATCTGCGCATAGGGACAAAATTTGTTTCTGCATTTCGGGCCTCAGAAGTCGAGGCAATGAGCCTTTGGTTCATGAAGTATGGGTAGATTCATGGGTAAAGAAAACGAAGGTGGGAAGAACCACGCTCGTGACTCAGTATTGTTAAGCTTGTCACTGTGCCGTTCGTGTTACCGCGCATTCACCCTGCAAATGCTCGAGCTTGGCGTAGACATCCTTCATATAGTTAACTTGAATCTGAATTTGCTTGGAAAACCTAAGCGGGGCTCACGCTCAAAAGCCTTTCACTGTGGTCTACTCGCACAAAAAAAGTTCCGATTAGTGTAGGCCACCCGCTCCCTTGCTTGCTGCGTTTTCAGGCCGTCCAACCTCTCCTTCGCCAGTTGAGGGTGTGGGCATATATATCTATATATGCATGAGCGACATATGACATATCAATTCCCAGTCATTCGCAGTCCAGAACAGGGGCAGCACTATCCAGTTTGCGACCACAGACTTCCAAAAATTTTGGTAGTATGGCCACAGCACTGACGTTCTCGGTGATGGTGGGGAAACACATCCTCATGCGTGGGCATGCTCACAGGATGACATGTATGAATAGGGGATGCGCTATTCCTAAACCATGCATGCCTTCACATATGAATGGCCTGAAAGATCCAGAGCTGACCGCAGCCTTGTCCTCAGGACTTTGGCCTCCATCCTCGTCGAAGTGCTTCAAGATGTCGAGGCGGGAGCCGCTTGAGCAGGGAGCATCTCGCAAGTAAGAGCCATCCGGATCCTAATCCCCAGACACCCCCTTTGTTTTACATATTCTTCATGTGGAATTCACAAAGCTGAATGCTGATGTGGCTCTTCAATTGACATGTTCATAGTTTGCACCGTGCGTTCATTCTCACTGCGATCGAAAGAAAAGGCATCTTCGATCACTAGTTTGGCTTCTTCCTCACCATGTACTTCGTTGACTCGAAGCAGTTGGTTTCGCGCCGCAAACTCCCACGCATGCTCCACCATCTTCCTCAAAGAACAGCTAGATGATAATTATGTTTAATCATATTGTTTCGCATAGCGTGAAACCAATAGAAAACAAGAGGACAAAACTGAGGTCGTCTCTTCGTCCAGTTGTGGGTGGTTAACAAGCAGTGCTTGGTAACCCACTGGCCACTCCGCTTCTGTCCCATAGTCGACTGCGACCAACGCTGCAACTGAACCTCGACCAGCGAGAAGTCACAGCCGTTCTGCAGCATGAGTTCTCGCAGCTTTGATCCTGGGCAATGCACATGCTCCAAAATGGGCACAAACATGAGGCTCCTGAATTCTAAAACAGGGTAATTCCATCCTTACCTCATGACCTCAAACAATCATGGCCAAGAAACGACCATCCTTGGTTTTATAAAGTTTTAGAGCTTCGGCTGAACAAGAAGACGCCTTGATCACACATTGCCTTCGCAACCTTAGCCACCAACCCTGTCACATGACTTCCGAGTGATTTCCTTTGGAAGTGATTTGAGGCAAAAAACTTCCAATACAGCGCGTCCTTCTCGTTTGACTTTTGCTGGGACGGTGTTTGGGAGGTCTGGCTGGGCTTTGGGGAAGGACGTTCGGATGGGGCTCCATCCACAGACTTTGCTGGTGTGTACCTTGGGGTCAAAGGTGCATTCAAAAAGGAATTCGGGTCTTGGGCATCATGGCCCATGCTTTTCCTGGAACTCTTGACAGTCTCCGGGGGGTTGGGATGAGTTGTGGCAACAGACTCATCAACAAATGCTTGGGCCAGATTCCGCTTGACAGAGCCTGATTGGTTTGGCTCTGGCTCACGAGGGCAGGTTCGAGGGGTTGGAGGTACTCCTGCTGGATAATGACCTGTGCTGTGCGCAATGATCGGAGCACCTGCAACAGAGCAATCCTGGATTGATGAACAAGCTGCACGCACAGGCTACAGGCCTTCAACGACTGGCACCACACCAACATCTCCCTCATCACCACCGCACTCTCGTAGTTGAGCTCGCAATGTTGCGAGCCTCTCCTCTTGAGCCTTAGCGCCGAATATAGTTTACTCACCCCGCATCCCCTTATCTATATATATTTATAGTTTGTGGGCCCTCACTTCACAAAGAACCAATTTCAATTGCATCAAATTAGACGAGGCTCCTTTATCATGTCGTCAATCCCCAAGTTCCCCTCCGAAGGTCCCTGCGTGTTCCGCCCCAGCATCTCTGATCCATAGACCAGAGTGCTGCAAGATCCGAGTTTAGGGTCGGATCCTGACGACATGTTTTGCAAAGCTAGCTGAGCTTGGAACTGGTACCACCAAAAGGCTGCGGACCCCTGTATACATGTACTTTGAACGTTCCGAATTTGATTTTTGGACGGGTTTGGGAGAAAGTGTACGAACTTTGGGGACGGAGTGGTATACTTTTTGAAGTTGCGGAATGTTGCGCGAATTTGCGCACGGGTTGCGCAAAATTGCGCTCGAGTTGCGCCCCGGTTTTCCCAACACACCCGCTTAGATCAGTCCGAACGGATGAAAGTGTACGAATTTGCTCAAAAGCATTCGAATTTCTTTTGCAACCAAACCGGTCACAAAGATCACTGGTGCGCGGCCACCTTAGATTACAAGGGCCACTTCTAGGCAAGTCTGCCAGGTCTGTAGTGAGGCTGATAGGTGCGAACAAGAATCCAAATCTTTGTGGAATTGGGACATAACTGGCTTCCACTCAGCTGGAATCCTGCGCAGGCTGGCATCTCCACTTCCCAGGCTGGCAGCGGGTCAGCGGAGAAGGAAAGGAGAAGGGCACCACTAGTTTGGAGGTGGCCTGGGATAGCCCCAGAACCCTTACAAAACAGGCTCCCAGGCCACCTTCCTAAAGGGGAAAGAAAAGGGGTGCACGGCTCAGCAAACCTGAAGCTGCAAAACGAAAGCCAGCGCTTCCCCTTTTCGACAACTGCACGTCGAAGCAAGCAGAGAAGAGGCATTGCTGCAAGGCCTAGTATCGC